AGGGTAAAGAGACGTCTAGAAAATTTAGTTGCTAGAAAAAATAGGCAAAAATGCAAATCACGTGTCTGCTTCCGATTAGTTTTTTAAACATGAATTTTTCGGGAAACATTCCTACTCAGTAATAAATAAAAGCAAGGTCAAAGTCCCAGATTTGTCCAGAGGTACTTAGAGATATAAATTTTTGAATAACGTAGTCCTCCACTCGAATATGGGCATCTGGAAGCCCAAATTTGGAATCTGTAATCTATTTCTTATTTTGTAAAACTTAAAAGAATTTTTGATTAACAAATAAACTCAACGATTTTAAAACGAGCAATGGCAACACTGTACGAAAAAGAAAAAAACATTTTTATCTCCAGTGCGCGAGACTGGATATCGGAAATTCTAAAGCTATTCTCTTTTAAATATTTTGTTATATTAATGTTGAATTGAATTTTTATGATTTAAGAGCGAGAAACATGATATTTAATAAATAAAGTTAACACAGAAAATTTTTAAAAAAGCCCCTTTGGGCGTAATATGAAATCTGAAACCTTAGAGATCTTTTTGTTTTGCATTTTTTTTAATATATTTTTCTTTTCTTTTCTTTTTTTTAATGTATTTTTCTTTTCATTTCCTTTTTTTTAATATATTTTTCTTCTCTTTTCTTTTTTTTTTAAAGAAGAAAGATTGGTTTCCTCTCTTAAATGCTTGCAACCAATTATTTCTTCGAAAAAATATCTGTTTTTCAAAGTCTGTGCATTTCAATTATATTTAATCACTGTACCAAAAAATTAAATATTTTATTTTTCATACGAATCTCGAAGTCTTATCCGTTTTCTTCTCATAATGCATTATGATTTCCTTGGTCATTAACTACAATATTTATAGACCTTTCAAATCAAAATTAAAAAAAAAAAATTCAAATCAAAATTTAAATTAAATTTAAAGAAAAATAGCTCATGTTTCAGATGCCATGAGTTTATACATCTACTTTTCTTAACTCACTCTCCTTTTCTTTCACATGAAAAAGTTTTCCTCATTTACAGTTTTGTACATTATTTATTTTATTTGCGTGTTTCATAGCGAAAGCAGTTTCGTGGAATGCTGCTTATTGCCTTTCGTTTAACGTGTTTTTCTTCGGTTGATCAAGTACAGAAATATGCCGAGAAACAAGGAAACTGCATATGAAATTTTAACTTTGAACTTAATATTTAGTTTATATTCTTAATATATATTTTGCACATATTTTTATCCTTTCAAGCTCTCTAAACGAAACCGAATTAAAAATGTTCTAAATCTTTTTATCGTGTTTTGTGCATTGAGAATCGTGTTTTGTGCATTGCTTTATCGTGTTTTGTGCATTGAGAGATGTAAATTATGATTCAGCAATCATGTCTTTTGTTTTCATTCTTTACAATCTTCTTTTTCTTACATAAACCTTATCTATATTTTAATGCTAATTTTTCTGTCAGTATTATGGGAGCATTGAATTAATTATTTTTATGGCTAAATTTAATAAATGATTCTAACAGTAATTTATTTCAGAAAACTTTTGGTTTGATTTTCTGAAGGCTTATTTTTTTAATCAGTTTTCAACCCATTTCTGTCAGGTTAATTTTTTTTTACTATTCCACACATATATATTTCGATGCTAATGCTATATTTGGCAACGACTGTTTCCAAAATATTTATATAGAACTTTTTCTTTATTTTCTAAGATTACTTTAACTAACCATGGCAAATTTTCAATCTTTCCACCATATCATATCATATAGATAAATAAATAATCTTTGAAATAAAGTCTGTATCAAATATCTAAAGTAAGCTAACGATTTTTTCCTATCTTTGATTAAATTCCTACATTAAAAATGAATCGCTTATAACGCCTTGGCTTTTTTTACGTGTAATAAAGCTTACGGTTTAGCCGCTTTGATAGTGGAATGGATAGTGTATTTGTTTCCATTTTTAATACATTCTGTTCCTGTTTGAGAGTTCTATGGCGTAAAAGTGTAATTTTGATCAGCAGACTGTAACTTTGATTGTAGCTATTATATTTCGCATACCAGCTTCATCGTTTGTTATAGTAAAGTTTTACAAAAGAGGTGATATCATCAGCTCAATTTTTATGCTGTTTAGAAGGAACATGTGTCTCATTTTCTGGGGAATGATTTCATATTTTCCTTTATTATTTTTATTATTTTGCTTTTGTTGATAAAAATGCGGATATAAACACTTCAAAATGATTTATAAACTGCACTAAAATATAAGAAATGTATAAGGTATTTCTACCGCCTTCCTATCGTGGCTTCGTGATGTAGTGGTTCTGAACGCTGGGCCGGTATTCCAGAGGTCCGTGGTTCGATTCCCGACGAAGGCGATTACTCATTTTTCATCTCTGTTGCTTCCAAAATACCTAATGTCTCTATAAATGATTTTAAAAATTATTACGATAATCTTTCTGGATGAACAAACTCAAATTGGGAAGCGTCCAAGCAACAATAACTTTGAGATATTAACAGAATTTCAAATAAAAACAGAAATGGTACTGCAGAAAATGACACATAATAATAATGAATACATCCAGTACATTTGAATTTAACTTTCACAGCATAAACTGATTATTAGTAACAAACCAGGAGTCTTATCCTAGTTAATTATGAAATATTGCGGTTACTGTAAATATTATATATATCAAATGTAATATTTAAACAAACAGGTTATGATATTCTGAATTTTGCTGAATCATGCTACACTGTAAGAAAATTCTTGCCAATGGCAACCCCCCCATCCTGTTTCAATTTTCACACCAATATAGGATCAGCTAGTAACGTAAGAGTAAAATGGACTCTTCCATACTTTACTCAGGACAGTCCTTAGCGGCATCCAGTATGCTGCTATGAATGCGCTATTTTGAAAAATTAATTGAATTAGAATTTTTAATTTATAAATTATTAATTATTGTAAAATGTACGTAAAATTTTTAATTCATTTTGTCCATTATTATGTAAAAATTCTTATGCTAATAAGGCATTTATTGTTATATTTTAGTTACTTCTATTTCATTTCCTTCATAATTTTTATTTAATTTATTCTTCTTATTATTGGATCAAAAGGGGCGTTGACCAGAAGGTCTGTTAATCTTGCGACGGTATTTTGAGTTGAATCACTAAAAGTGTTGCATCACTTTACAAATTGTTGCCACCATATATTATCTCCCTGTATTATATACAAAGGAGTCAAATAACGAAGAGATCTGCATGAATGTATGCATGTTCCTCGCACTGTGAAAACATAAACAGTATCTAGAGCTGTCAAAGTTTGAATAAAATAGTCCTCCACCCGAATATGAGCACCTGGAAGCCCGAAATTGAAGTTTGTTTCACTGTCTATTTCATATTTTGTAAAACTTTAATGAATATTTGATTAGCAAACTCAACGATTTCAAAACGAGCAATGGCAATACTGTAAATCACTAAATTCTAATTTAATTAACTGCAAGCTCCCATTTTTGATTTCCACAATAGTACTCCTTTACAAGCTAAATTTTCTTTCACATTTCCTAAGAGATAATCTAATAATTTATATAGTATTCTCTATGAAATTATGTATATATATATACATGTAATTTAATTGAGAATACATAATTTCATTTTATTAAAACTGTCTTTTACTACATTTTTGCGATTATTGTCATGATTTATTTGTATTTTTATGTCATTATTAAGCCACATGTGTGTAAAATCTACTTTACTTTTGCATCCATCTTTTTAAATTCTGCAGCAGCTAAATTTCAACAACATTTGAAAAGCTTCTTTTTGTCCCATATAAAACCATAAGATCACAAAGATACCTAATTGCGTGATCTAATCAACTAATTACAACGGGATCTAATCAACTAAATACTTGAATTTTAAAAATTTGAATTTTTATTTACAGCCGCAGCGAACATAAACAATCAGCTAATTACTTAAATTGTAAAATACAAAAATTCAGATTTGTCATATATAGAGGACGATGAACACAATTTTTGAAATAAATTTCAACAACATTCGAAAACCTTCTTTTGTCCCATATAAAACCATAAGGTCACAAAGATACCTAATTGCGTGATCTAATCAACTAATACACAACTAATTACTTGAATTTTAAAAATTTGAATTTTTATTTACAGCCGCAGCGAACATAAACAATCAGCTAATTACTTAAATTGTAAACTACAAAAATTCAGATTTATCATATATAGAAGACGATGAACACAATTTTTTAAATAAATTTCAACAACATTCGAAAACCTTCTTTTGTCCCACATAAAACCATAAGATCACAAAGATACCTAATTGCGTGATCTAATCAACTAATTACTTGAATTTTAAAAATTTGAATTTTTATTTACAGCCGCAGCGAACATAAACAATCAGCTAATTACTTAAATTGTAAAATACAAAAATTCAGATTTGTCATATATAGAGGACGATGAACACAATTTTTGAAATAAATTTCAACAACATTCGAAAACCTTTTTTTGTCCCATATAAAACCATAAGATCACAAAGATACCTACTTGCGTGATCTAATCAACTAATTACAACGGGATCTAATCAACTAATTACTTGAATTTTAAAAATTTGAATTTTTATTTACAGCCGCAGCGAACATAAACAATCAGCTAATTACTTAAATTGTAAAATACAAAAATTCAGATTTTTCATATATAGAGACGATGAACACAATTTCTGAAATAAAACGAAATTTTGCGTCAGATCGTCATCACCTATTACAAGCTGAATAGATTTAACCTTTTTCATGTGAAAGTTCATATCAGCGAAGCATAACAATCAGGTTTCGAGGTATTAGGTTATCTAATCCGTGGGCTACCAGCAATATGATTTCAATACATACAGAAATGGATAGAGTTTTACTTTTTATATGGTCCCCAACGCGAAACGGTAAGAAGAGAGTAAAGCACAGCAATGAACTTGAGCGAGTGGCCTCGTTTTCGAGCAGAGTCTGCTGACCTAGAAAAAGAAGCCGCAGGCCCTACGCCCCTATTTAAGAGCGCGCTCTTTCACTTTTCTCCACACTCGTGCATCATCCAGGGATAGCTGAGCACAAACTCTCAAATCAACCACGTTTTCAAGGTAAGAATTGATTCTCTGCATTTTGCTTGGATATCTTCTCAAACGTTACAACCGCAGGTTGCACCAAGGATATATTAGCAAGCGAAGGCTTTTCTTAGAAAAATATTAAATTTACGGATTGAAAGGTGCCTTTTTTTCTCCCCCTGTTCTTCTTCGATTTGGTTAAAGTAAATCTGGGCATTGACAGTATCTCTCCTTATGACGAAAGAAAAAAATGGCTTAGAAGAAAAGAATAGGCTTAACTCTAATCCGAAATTGAGGCAAAGAATAAGGCAAAAGAATATAGCCTCGTGCTCTAAGAATCTTGATACAAATAAGCATGCATCTTAATACATGCTTTAAATTTAATAATATGAAGCTCTTGATTTTCACAAAGTAAGGTAAAAATATTGTCAGTGCAATTTTAAATCAATTGTTAAAAAAAATATGAGTAAATTTTATTTTAAGTATTCTGATTCATATAGAACCAATGGATAGCAAGTTGGTTAAAGGTTCTACATCTAAATAGCTTAGTTAGTCAAAAAAATTAGTTTAAAGAAAAATCTTTACTAATATTACTTTACGTAAATGTATATTTTATTTTTAAATGTTTTGTTTCAATATTTATAAAATTTTACAAAAAATTGTGAAGAGAAAACATTGTTCAATATTAAGAAAAACCTTTTGGTCGTTCTTTTCTATACTGCTAGTGCAAGCTTTACAAAATAGAATAAAACTTTTGAAATGCCTCTATTCAATTTTTAAAGAAAAATAATTGATTTCAAACATAAATTCATATTTTTAATACCTTCTGCATAGAACAAAAGTGCTACATATTTAGTGTTAGTTATGCCATAAACATATGTAATATCTTATCCTCAAAAGACATTTAACATAAAATAAATATCTATGAATATATTTATCCAATAAGTTTTATTGTCTGACTATTCTAAGCTTACTCCCAATATGGCATACAACTAGTGTAAATAAAGTACCTTAATACTTCACATAAAAATTTGGAATGTGAATATTTAATTATAATAAGGAAACTTTTATTTAAACTATAAAAGGAACTCTTTCATATTTCAAAAATAATATGCTCGTTTTTATATCAATTAGTATAATGAATTCTTATAAATATTAATATATTTTATATTCTTATATGTATTAATATCCTTTAATAGCAATCTAACAATTCTTATAAATGTGTTACTTTCAATATTTTTTAATATTATAATCCATAATTGTTTTTTATAAATAATCGTCGATCTTTTTTCAGGCTGCAAATTATTGCATGTTAGGGTTGCTATTTGTATTCCTGTATAATATCTTTTAAATTGCATCTAACATTTTTGAATTTGCAAAGTAAATACAATTTCTATTACAAAAATACCAGAGAAAGCGTAAAGCTTTAATTTGGACAATAATCTTGGGCAACTATAATTTCATATTAATCCATATTAGTTTTCCTAACAATTAATACTTAGAGATCTTTAAGTTTAAAATTATTATTTAAAAAAAATTATATTTGAAATTATTAAATATTACATAGCTTTTACTATTTCTGATACCGGCAAGCAATTTTTAAAAACGGTATCATAACTGTTAGGTAATGCTATTTATAAATGCTTTGCTTTAATATATTATTTTTTATATAAAAATAAAAGAGAAATAATTTATATGGCTTTTATAACGATTACTAATACATACATTCTAAATTCAACACTAAGTATTAATTTTAGTTCTTCAGTTATTTCACCAAACTATTTATAAGACAATACGAAATTTTCAGAACCATTATAAAACATTTGCATCATTTTAGCTCAATCAGCTAATTAATTAATTGCATTGATAGCATACTTAAAAGGAAGATTTGCGCTTTTTCGATTATAGGTAATTGCCCTCATTGAAATTCATCTCGTGGCCAATCAGTTACGTCTAGACATTGGTAGTGACCTAGTTCTCATTCAACGCATCTTTTCATCATGTTTTATCTTTTGCATAATTTACTCCGAGGAATTTCCTTGTTTTAGACAATGAATTCATTTTCCTTGTAACGGTGGAACTTATATGTAATCATATACAAAGCCATCTTCAATTCATACAAATACGTTGAAAAGAAAAGAACGTAGTAAGAATAAGATTCGGTTTTTTAACTTCTTTTTTTGACACAACTAACATATATTTTAAATATGTTAGTACGCAAATAACATAAATTATAAATTTAAAAATATGATTAACTTGTGCGTGCCAGTTCCACATGACTTGAGATTCTATATTACACATTTATCTAAATCAACCGAAAAAGTAATTTAGGACATTTTTAGGTAAAGATTTAGAAGACAACGTTATTTGAAAAAAAAAAAAAGAATCACTAATTAGTATTTTGATCATACCAGATTTAAACACAAACTTCATATAAATTGAAATAACTAAATTTTATATTAATTCTAACTCTCACTATAATGTGATTGCCAAAATGGTGCATGGAGGTTATTTTTCAATTTGAAATGAAAGTAGCAATTAAAGGGATAACTTCATCATAAATAAATACATTTCCCCAAACATAAAACATTTTATTGTTTTAGATACTGACTTTTAACGTATTCCTTCGACTTTTAATTAATTATAAATTGTAATATATATTTTGTCGTAGGGAATTAGATACTTAAAATTTTTTATGAGAAAAAAGTAAGTTTTTAAGGCCTTCCTCCCACCTCAGAATACTTTCTATAGCCTGATGCAACTTAGTCGTACTTTGAAATGAAAACTGAAAAGTAAAATACAAAGATATTTAGACACCGAACGGTTTCTTTCCAGTTTTTGTATAATATATATATAAATATTATTTAATAAATAATTTATCTTTATTTCAAAAATATTTGACACAGGAAGTAAAATTTTTATATTTTCTAAGAGTAAAACTGTTAACACAAGAAGTTTTCATAATAAATATTAGTAAATGGCTTTTAATAACTTATTTCAGTTATTTTCAGTATCGTATTCAGACTTTCCATCAAAAGCACAGGAGTATCTTTTACCTTTATAGGTATTTTGTTAGATCATATTCTTATTTAATGCCACACAGTTAAAAACTATAATACGAAATTTATTATTACTGATGTTTATATACTAGATAGGATAGGTTACATTTGTTGCGATGTTTCTCTGTATTAATTCTAATTAATATTTGATGCTCAATCAAAACTGATCATTAATTTTGGACAGTTTCTTAGACGATATAAATCTCATTTTTGTATGAATATATTTAATTTCTGGACAACCTTTCTTCAGGTGATATTCAGAAATCTGATTAATTCCGAATCATTAATAATTTTTGGGGATATAATTAGTTTTAAACTCAAATTTATTCATAATACATTAGGCAATATAAGCAGTTTTATGATCATAATTTGTTGAGTTTATCATCATTTGTCTTTTGTTTAGTTCTTTATTTTGAAGTGTTAATTCAAGAAATACTTTAATGTTTAACATAACTAACTTTTTTGTGTGGTATTAGGGACCCACCAGCGGCCGAGCGGTAAAGTCGCTGAACACTGGTAGTTCGGTCTGAGTTTCGAATCCCGCGAACGGGCTGGCTGCATGGGCGTTTTCGTGGTTTTCCCCATGTGTAACGTGTATACGAGCCAGTTTCCCTTAGAAAGTCCTCCACGAAGGCATTTTTTCCCTCGAGGCTTTGCCATAATCACACACACACTTGTGTGGTTATTAACCATTTTTGAATGTAAATAGTAAAAAGTGAAAATAGATTTCAGGTGTGACATGATAACCAAAGATTTTTATTTCAAGTCGATTTCAAATCATGTTTGAGTAACCTAAATTTGTCGAGATTTCACGACTTCTTATATACATTGCATTAGTATATGAAGCACCTTTCTGTGAAAAAGTCCTATATAACTCAAAAAAATTATCATTAAATGTTTGAGGGATCTTCTATAGTAAATAAAACTTCTTACCATATTAAAATAACGTTTTAAAGCAAGCGTAAAATCTGTTTGCCGCCCACCAGGAAAAACAAATGGAACAGGTTTAAATTTCAGTCTCATTCGCTTAGTCTAGATTAATAGCACGATAATTTTACTTTATTTTCTAGTGAGAGAAGTAATTTAATCTTCATCTCGTTTGCCGTTTTTGACCTCAATGACAGCGACCTTCACGCTCGCTTCAGCGTTGTTCCATATCATGATGCGTTCCGACAACCAAATAGCTCATTCTCTATCACGTAATCTCTGCTGTTTCACGAACCTTCCCTAGCAACCTGGAATCTTATGTTTTGACATCATAATTATGTTAAAGTTATTTGAAAAGGAATACAAAAAAAAAAAAAAAAAAAATTAAACTTCAAATTCGTAAATAACCAACAAAATTACTTTAAAGAAAAATTTTTAATAATTACAAGAAATAATAACACGCATAATAAAATTTAACGTAGTGATACTAAATTCTTTGAGTCAGAAGAAACTTAAACCTGAATTTAATTCCAGAAAAATTTTCTTTTCTTCCACGTTCATCAATGGTATATTAAGCTTATTTTTGGTTACACTGAAATCAACTCTAAAATGTTAATCACGAAATCAAATTACATAGACGAATAAGTAATTTTGAATAATTAAAATAAGTAAAATGATTTGCTATTATTTTTTTAAACAAATATTGTAGTTGTTGTATTTTCGCAAAAAATACAATTTACATGAAACTATTCATGTGTTTAAGTATGTCTTATCAATAACATATTCAAAAACTAATGTAATTTGTTTCTTAGGCAATTTATAGGAAGCATAAGTTCTAACTTTTAATAGTTAGTCTGTAAGTTCTGTAAATCAAAGTTTTAACGTGAATGATCCCAGGAATCTACTACATTTTCATTTCGGATGCCCACCAATGGCCTTGTATTAAAATCGCTGAATACTGGTAGTTTCGACCTGGTTTCGATTCCAGGCGAACTAGCTAGCTGCATGGCCTTTCGTGGATTTTCCCACTGTTAAGTGTATGCGAACTAG